AAAATCGCTATGTACGTTGCTTTTGTTCACTGAATCTTGGTAAAAAATGGCGTAGTAATATCCAGTCTGTTTCATTATGCCTATGACTACGACTTGCTCACGCTTAATTGTGTCAAGCGTGTCCTCTGAAACAAAAGAAATTGCTAATGAGGCAAGATTGCAAGCGTGCTTAAGTGTGTTAAAATAAATTATTTTTGTTTTAAAGTGAAAGCGTGTCGTGCGCGTGCTTTCACCTTTAGCATTCAAATCCTGTGGAGGGTCACATATTAATGTTATCTTTACAGGAGTCAGATGATGGTGGTGATGAAGATGACGACGGAGATGATGATGATGATGACGACGATGATGACGATGATGATGACGACATTGAAATTGCTATTTCGGGCGATGACGATGATTCTGACGATGACAGTGACACAGCGGTGTATTAACCCTTTATTTCCCAAGAAAATTCCAAATTCTATTTGGCAAAATACTCAAAAACAAATACAGTAAACACCCGCTAATAAGAACCTACTTTTTTGAAGTCTGGCAAAATAGGTTCTTGTATTTTGAAACACTTGTGATGGCAAAACCACAACGACAAACCAGTGAGGGTCCGCTGTTTTCTTTCTTTCTTTTTTTCTATCACTCTTCCTGCCGTAAGGATCTGTTTACTGTTTTAAATTTAAATTCTTGTATTTTGGGGTACTTATTGGAAACTTAGGCTAAGCAGGTTCTTAATTAGTTTCTTAATTTTAAAGAAGGAGATAATAGATTGTTGATCACCAGAAAAATAAACTTTTTTTTGTTCACAATTGTAGTATTACTACCCTAACAAAACTGATTACCAAATTTATATGTAGTTTAGAACATTATGTTCTTGTTATACTTAAATTTACAACTCAAAGTTATACTCCTTTGTTAAATTGTTTATCATGATTTAACTGTAACTCACATATAAGAACCTTCTTGATCTTGCTTGGCCAAACAAGTTCTTGTATTTTGGGGTATTAAAGTGGCAAATTTCTGCCAGGAGGTCCTTAATCCATGTGGACTTATTAGCGACTGTTTACTGTAGTACCACGTGAAATTACTGCTGAAGTGGTTTCATTTCCATTGTCACACCATACACCTTATCCACGGACTCAATAGTTAAAACTACCTACTGAATTAATGATACCATACGAGTGGCCGGGCCAAAAGATTTCATCTACAGATTCGATCTTAACTTTTCATGTGGTAAGTTTTACCAAAAGTTAAACGAGCGGAGGAGGGAAAGAGCATGAAAGCTACTTAAGACTTTTAATCAATTATTTTCAACTCTTATGACACATGCTCCCAGGCCGTTAATATCGAATAACATCTTTACGTTCGTAAAAAATTCTATTTTATAGCTATCTGTTGGCTAGTATGTACTGGTTTTTACAATTTCCAATAAAAGGAATGTACAGTTAAACCGTGATTTGTGATGTAATGTTTAGTCATGTAGACTTAACAAAACACGTACTGTGAGTGTTTTAAACAGCTTCAAAAACATCCCCGGAGTATTTTATGAATAATAATAATAATAATAATAATATGTTGTTATTGTTCATCAGATAAAAATACATATCTAATGTTACAGGAAAAAGGATTGAAAGGTTCAGATGAATACAACAGAACAAAGAAGTATAAAATTATTTAAAATGCTAAAAAATATACATATCTCTATACATAGAATTATCATTAATGGTCGTATTTAAGAACTAATCTATTTACAAACGTATTCTCTAAACGTTTGGTATTTACCTTTGGCATATGGCAGCCTTTGCTTGTTAGGTCGTAGGTTAAAGCGATCTTTTCTTGTGGAAAGCAGACCTTCAGGAGGTGGTTATCACACTTTTTTAACTTTTTATTCAAAATCGCTTTATCCTGTTTGCGCAGTAAACATCTAATTTGCAACGGCGCAGATTAACTCTTAGTCTGCGAAAATTTCGCAGGCTAATTAACTCTTAACTTATTTATTTCTATAGCATTGTTGAAAATTGTATGCCCGCCATGAAACGTAATAATTTTAAAAAATGTCAAACGAAAGCATGCAAAATAACAAAGGTTGATCAAGTATAATTATGCAAATATATTGATAGTTAGAAACTGAAATGCATAGTTTTTAAAGCGTCTACTCGCCTTCACGCGCGATACCGCTGCTAGACTTGTTACAAGTCGACCTCTTGGCGAGCGGAGCGAGCCTTTTTGGCCGCGAAGCGGCCTATTTCGCAAGGAAACGTCCGCGGTTAAAATCTCTACAAGACTGAGGGAAGACATTGCTCGAGAAGAATGTTACTAAATGTAACAGAAAAGCAGGACAAAGTGGGCGTCAATTTTTACGGAATTACAAACTGGTAAGAATTGTTTGTGACTTGTTTTTTGCTTGGTTACCAGTCGTATCTTGAAATGGTTTGTTTTTGGTGTTTTCTCGTTTAAAATCATATTTTATTTTGGAATTTGTTTTAGGTGTGGCAGGTGAATAGTGGTTTACGTGAATTGTTATAGCCTGAACAACTTTTACGTTGTGAGTTTTGACTTTTTCTGTGATTTAAAGTTTAACAAAAGTTGATCAAATATAGTTATGCAAATACATTGATCTTGTGAAACTGGAATGTACAGTTTTTAAAGCGTCTACTTGCCTCCACACGCGATACCGCTGTCCCACGGAAACGTCCGCTGAGGCTGACATCACTAATAGGCCTTTTGCGGCTTGCTATTCACGTATTACCAACTACCGACAGGAAAAATATTAACCGACTACCGGCATGGGCTGATATTATCAATATTTGTTTCCAGAAAAAAGAGCATTTTGCATTTATTTTGTAGCCGTTAGGAAGTAACCTCTTTAAATTTATGACTCATCAGATGGCCTAAGGGAAAGAATTTCCTTTTTTTTTTGTTAATACAGGTACATTGCCACAGCCAATATCAAAATCACAAAGTCAGACCTTAAAGACCGACTTTACCGACTTTATAAATTTTATTGAAAAGTCAAAGGCGAAAAAACCGAACGTTTCTTGTTTCGGCCCTAGAAATGCTTAGATTAATCCTCAAAAAAAAATTTTTCCCGTTTAATGGAAAGCACTATCATTACGTACAAACCCACGGTACCGCGATGAGCAGAAAGACAGCAGTTTCCTTTCCAACTTTTTCATGGCATATATTGAAACACAAAGTTTAAGCAAAACCGTCTTTAAACCAACTGTTTGAAAACGCTACGTAGATGACATTTTTTCCCTATGGGACATAAGTAAACCAGACATCGTAGCTTTCTTCGCGGAACAAGTAAACTTACATCACCCTACTATGAAATTCACGGCCGAAATATCTGAAAATGAGACATTCTTTTTAGAAACGGATGTACACCAAGGCACAACATTCAGCGAAAAATGAGAAAAAGCTATCCTTGACGTAAAGACGCATTTCAAACGGAAATCTTACAGTATATACATTTTCACCTCTTATCATCCACCAGTTGTTAAAGCGCCTGTTTGACAAACGAGAAGCCTTGAAAATCCTACGAACAAACTCCTCTGAGGAAGTATTTCAGATTTCAAAAGCGCTTGATGGACAGAGGGTAGCCACACACAATTTTGAAAGCAAAATTGCTATAATTAGAAGTAAAACTCACAGAAAGGAAGGCAGCTCTCCTGAAGCAAAACAACAAGGAAGAAAAAGAAATATTGCCTTCCGTGGCACAATACCAGCCCTTAGTGTCTATTATAAAAGAGGCTTTAAAGAAAAAGTGGAATCTCATACAAAACCAACCACTACCTTGCCAAAATTTAAAAGAACCACATAAAGTGCTATTTCTTTGAGAAAGGAACATTTTTGGCAAAGAACATACTTGTTAGAGCCAAAACATAACAGGGATAGATGTACAGCCTGTCACCCCTTGCAGTCTTTCACTAAATATAATTTAAGTGTCCAAAAGGCTAGAGTCCATTAATTGATTAATTACTTTTTACTGTGCCCTGTAGTCGACAGGGAAACCAAGTTCGCATTTACAATAAAAGCTTTGGTGATTTTATCAGTACTATATTCATTTGGCAAACATCATGTTGCATAAACAAACAAGAGTTAATGAACGGTTAGGTGCAATCAAATGATACATTGTTACAAGTTTTACTATTTCCTTAGGGATCAAAGTCTTGAAAAGAGGATGAAATACATAAAAAATATTAATAATTAACAAGCGTTTTTACTTATTAACTGAGATTTTCCGACAACCGACGAAAATCGAAAAGTTTAACCGACTACCGACAAAGATCGAAAATTTTAACCGTCTACCGACAAAATTACTGAATTTTAACCGACAACCGACAAGTGGACCCCCCCATTCAGACCCTCATGAAAGACTAGTGACGACACACGGATTACAAAAACCGGTGCAACACTCTGTAAGTCAAAAAGCGTGTTCGTTTTACGATTAAGTCAGTAAAACTTTTCAAGCACTCCCTACTACTCAGAACTGGACGCGTTTCTCAGGCGAGCGAAAGTTAGCGCGAAATGGGCGTGGATCTGCCTCGTACCCAGGCTGGCGCTACTTACTTTCGACGGTAGTAGCAGCACAAGAGTCATGGGAGATTTTAAAGCAGAAGAGACCGCAAAGGATAGGAAATTCAATTTAACGTTTCTGTATTTGCCTGACAATAACGAACACGAAATTTTATTTCGATAATGTTACAGCTCGATTGGGCGCAAAAATGTCTGTTTACTAGAGGGAGCCCTGCGAACACTATACCAATTTCCTCCGGCCAATACGCCCACCTCCCTTCTAATTTTTCTTTGACTTTGATCACATGAGCATCAATATAGAAATACAGTATCAGTATCTTCATCGTTGTGCAGTTCCATGTACGTTGATGGTTTAATGAACCAATCACATCTTTGATTGGCCTCCCTTGCCAGACCAAACGGTTTGCGACTTCTATCCTTGAACAAGCCGCATCTTTTAACAAAACGGTTTCAGATAATGTAGAGAGAACGTTTCACCGACCAGCACAGAAAGTTTTCGACACTGTCCTTTTCACCATTCGCCTGATTTCGCGTATTCGCCAACAGTAAAGAACCGGATTGAGTGAAGAATTGATGTAAACCAAAGTTGCTCCCAAGAAATGAACAATTATTGTTGGTCTTTCCGGCCCCTGTATTTGGAGTGCAATCATAACGCAAAATACGGGCACAGAACACAATATAAATGCAATATAAATACAAAACATGGTATAGATTGAGCGTTTGTACTTGACCAAATTAAAATTGTTTTTTCTCACTTGTGTACTTGGCCTTTGGTCGGAGTTGTTCTGGCGTCGAAGAGAGATCATCTCTCTCACAGTTTGTTCTTGACGTCTGAGCGTTAAATAAATCTTTAAGTAACAAGCCGTGATGACGAACATGCAAAATCCTAAACCAATGTTCGCCATGACGTTGAAAATGCGATGATCGTAAATAATCAGACATGTTTCGGCTAATCTCGCTATCCAGATAAAAACAAGGACTTTCAAAACTCTCTTCCGAGTGACAAGTCTACGGTAGCTTTCTACGTGTAAGGCAAGAAAGCGATCTATGGCAATGGCTGTTTGGAAGGCGACTGAAATGACTGGAAAGTACCATGTAACAAGATGGAACGGAGCGCCTATGATTCGAGACACCTCTGCGTATCCGCTCATAGACGTTAAAACAGCTAAAATATAAGGCAGTTGTACTAACAACCCAACTGAAAGGTCTGCAAGTGCCAGGTTGAAAAGAAACGCCTTGAAAACCATGTGTACGTGTGTTGCACGTATCTTTCGAAGAGCTACAATAATTAGCGTGTTTCCGAAGATTGTTGTGATAGATGAGAGGGCATTTAAGGTTACATCCAACACGTACAAAGCGAATGGAATTTCAGGGTCCAGAAAGCGCCCTTGAAGAACAACGCTAAAATTTTCGGCCATCGTAGATCTGGGAGACGCCAAATTTAAGTATGGCTCCTTTTAATTTGAGAGTAAAAAATACGACTTGATCGGTGAGTCCAAGTAATTTATGCACGTTATGTCAAACAGCTGTCGTGTTATACTATGCCGAAAGGGTTTTATTGGTATCAATGTCACAATCGGTTCTGCCGTAAAACATATCCTGACGTTAGTAATAAAATCTTGTCATAATAGCACAATAATCTGTCATAGATTCTTCAAAGATATTCGAATTCAAATGTCTTTTCTAACGTTTCATTAAAAATTAGTGATTAAGTAATTTAAAGTGCTCTACGAAGCTTAAAGGCTTAGAGCAGTTTATATTAGTCAGTTGGAACGGATTTAAATGATGATGTAATTTTAAAAATACTTTAATTAATATATGTTAAAGAAATAGAGAACAAACCTTTTGCGCTAATTATTAAGTTTTGTAAGCCCTTAGAAATATTTAAGGAACCGTCCATTGTAATTGTACAGCAACAAGATTCTTTTCTTATTCGTTTTATAAAATGACCCAGATCTGCGCACTCATAATGATCACGTATACGCACGCATTATATCTTGATTAAACTGCATGAAGAAGTGCACACTCTATGACTAAACAAGCCTTCTTGCTGAATGGAGGCGTCCGTATTTCTTAGGACGTTGAAAACCAGAACCAGCAAAAAAGACGAAAAATTTCATTGCCGGACAAGATTACGTTTTTACCTGACAATTACGTGCAAAATTCTATTGCGATTGTATCACTGCCAGATAAGGCCCAATCAGAGTCTATGTACACATTGAAACTCTGTGAAGGTGTATTGGACTGATGTTTTGACACCTCCTACATTATAGGGGCCACAATTGCCTACAAAAGTACATGAACTAATTGAACTTATGGGTACCCAATTAACTTATAGCGAAATTGTACCCCGGATCCTACAACAAAATCCGCCTTTTTTCCTCTTAGATCATGAGTCTTTAAAATGGCATGTTCCAGTTTTTCTTTTTTATTCGTAACCGTTTATATGCTTTTGGATTTTACGTAAACCATCACTAAACGCGTCCAAAGGATGGAGATAGGAAGTTAGATATCTTCCATTGAATTGGAGAAATGTCCTATTTCTGCTCAGAAACTTGGGATGTCGAAAAAAGGTTTCATAAGAGAATGAAACAGCTATATAGATCGTTTTCACATGACGTCACGGCGGCCATATTTGTGCACAAAAGAATGAATCGGTGGCCATGTTTGTGTACAAAGAAAATCCTGTAGGAATTGAACTCTTTTCACATGTTAAAACTTTCCTTTATTCCAAGCAATTTGCAAAGCTGCTGACCGCGTGACCACCATATTTTCTCAGATAAGCGGTCATTCCATTCCCCACCCTTCCCCCCAACCCCCCGCTCCCTATTTTGTAAAGGACGAAAATCAAAAGGAAAGCCTCTTTATCTTCACCTTCGTTCACAGTTTTTTTATCTTTGATCACACTGGTATCCATAGACGGTTAAATATAACCGTTCTTCATTAAAGCCTCCATCAATGTAGGAACTTGATAATAACAATAATATTAATAGCGGAGCTCTGGCGCGCGAAGCGCGCCTGCGGAGCACCATGGGTAAGTAAATCTAGCCATCCCAGAAAATTTGGTAATCACGTGACCGTGCACCGCCCGCCCACTGCCCGTCCGTCCGCGCCACATGTATACCAATGTTTACTCTCAAACTTTCTAGCTACTTTGGAAGCCCAGGAGAAAGCTGATTGCACATCAATGTTGTCATCAATTGACAGCTGTCAAAACAGGGTATCCGCTGACCAGAATCACCTGACCGTATCGTGGGCTCAGGTGTCGACCCATCAAGATCGAGTAATTTTTTGAAGTTATCCGCTGACAATTTAGTCGTTTTCAAATGATCGCAGGCTCATGTTTACTTTTTTTAAATTCATATCAAATATGTTGTGTTTATATCGGTATCGCCACGCACTTTCAAACTGACCTGAGACGCGAAAATTCAGCCAGTTTTTTTAAAATACAGGTGGGGAAGACCTTACCATGGTCACGTGTTGGTCACGCTCCACGTCCAATTTTTATGCTCTGATTGGTTAAAATTTGACAGGTGAGTTCATGCGTAAAATTTATGCAGCATCTTGAAAGTTGTTTACTTTGACAGCTGAAGCTGACAGAGTTTTGAGTCAACTTGTGATGTTTTTAACTGTCTTTTTCCACTGGATGTAAAAAATGTTTGTTTTCAGGCGTTCATAAACATCGCTTGCAGGAGTACTCAAAATGCCGAGCGTATCAAACGCTTTTTAAGATTACACATCGTTATAAAACCATTAATAAAAAATAGACTCAATAAATTCTTTATCACGTTGGAGCGTAACTCTTTTAAAATTTCTTCACAAATTTGGCGCTTGTCAAAAGTTAGAACCGGCTGGCCGTATAGGTGATTTTGGACATTTTTTGAACGGTTTCGCTAATTAAAGGTCCACGCGTGCTTCGATGGTCCTGAGTATTGAATGTCTTGAAAAATTGTGAAATACTGAATTTTGTACGAGGTCTGTATGATAAGCGCCTTATAGTACTCTTTCTCCTCAGATGTGGTTATAAAAAAAAATAAAAGAATGGTTTGCACGCACCCAGATTTATTGGCAAGAATTTGTAAACTTGTCGAACGCAAAAAATTCGGCCTGATTTGTTTTCCAAGAATTTGTTTTCCACACCTTATCTACTGTGATCAAGAGCCATTATTGCTCTTAAATGTGACCGAAGACTGTTTTTTAGGTGTACATATAAGGCTATATCAACTCGATACAAGATTTGTTTTACTCCAAAATCACTTAGCTTTTCCCTCAAAAGTCACATGAATGTGCCCTTAAGTTAACTGATTTGTGGAATACAAAATTATTGTTTGATTTAAGTTATAAATTTATCAATGGAAGCTTCGCTTTTAGCTGTGGCTAAATCTATATATTAATAATATACACTTATGTAGCGCCTTTCTGTTAGTGATCCAAAGCGCTTTACAATCAGTAAATACTTAGAAAACAAATAATTCAAATACAGCATAACAGGATTTAAAACCCCAACTGGCAGGAGGCAACTAGTTGGCTATTTACAAGCGTGGCCGAGGATTTGAACTCGGGACGACCAGGAACAAATCCAGCAAGTGACCAGAGCGGGACTCGAACCTGGGACCACCGGATTGCGAGTCCGACGCGCTGACCACTCGGCCACGCTGCCTCCTAACTTCTTGACTGAAGCATATCAAGGACATTTGCAGAAGTGTTGTACAGTGCCGGTGCTCCGAACCATTTCCCAAAAAGAAGTCCCCGTGGAGAATTGAGCTGATTTAGCAACAGAACGGGAACGTCAGTTGACAACGGCGCGCGCAAATTAAACAACTAGCTTGACCAATGGCAGAGCGACAAATTGGGTGCCGGAAGTCGAGTTAGTCCTTACCGCGCGCTTTCCCGTCGTCAAATGACGTTTCCGTCCTGTTGCTAAATCAGCCCGAGGCAGATTAAGCAACAGAACGAAAACGTTAGTTGACGACCTGGCGCAAATCAAACAACTGGCTTGACCAATGGCAGAGCGGCAAATTGGGCGCCGGAGGTCGAGTTTAGTCCTTTCCGCGCGCTTTCCTGTCGTCAAATGACGTCCCTGTTCTGTTGCTAAATCAGCGTATTCAGAAAACTTCTCGAAAAGTCTCCACCCTAAAAGGATTTTTTTTGACCGCAAGGGTGAGTACATTGTCACAGGACTAATCTCCCCGATTTTAAAGATATATGGAAAGTTAAAGAAAGAACATTTTAAGTGTCTACGTTTAAAAATGAAACATGATAAATAACCAATTTGTAAATAAGGTTTTCATTTAGAAAGATAAATATTAACAGTCTGCTTTTCAAGAGTGGGACATCTTGTCTCCAAACTTGACGTCGCTTAGAAGATATTTATCTTTTTATGGACATTTCGACCGATTTAGTAATTAACTAAGGGAGCATGAGTTTAGTGGTTCGTTTTTGTAGGCAGATACATCCTACGCATTATTATTTCTGTAAACCTATTATCAATGACCTAATAAATGAATAGGGAGTTGCGAAGGAGTAGATTTCAGAGAGAGAAGCACAGAACTGTTGAAGAAGGTTAAGTTGAAGAAGGCAGCTTAAAAGTTAACAGAAGAATAATATTGTGAAGAGAGTAAGTCTCCTTATAATAACATGTTTAATCTTCAGACGTATTTGGTTGTGAGAGTCACTAGCATCCATAGAATTTTATTCTTTTACCAATATATTAAACTAATCTCAAGCCCTAGGGCTCCCAAAAGATAGAAAGGTAATTACCTAGAGCAAAAAAGTAACAACAGAACACATTTTTCATCCAAATTTAGGTCATAATTTATGCGAAAATGATAAGCAAACTTTACACGATTATATCTAAAAAACTATGAGATTTATCCCCTTATTTTGGGGATCTTTATAACAGATGGGTCCTTGCAAGTCAGCAAAAACCTTTAGGGCCTTGTAAATACGCGCGATTTCGAGCAATGCAAACATATGCAAATTAAAAAATTCGTAGTTTTTTTCCTTCAAATTTTTATACACGGTTTAACTTTATTCAAATCGCTTTATCCTGTTTGTGCAATAAACATCTAATTTGCAACGGCGCAGATAAATTCTTAGCCTGCGAAATGTTTTCGCAGGCCAATTAACTCTAACGTATTTATTTCTATAGCATTGTTGAAAATTGTATGCCCGCCATAAAACGTAATGATTTTGAAAAATCTCAAAAGAAAGCATGCAAAATAACAAAGGTTGATCAAGTATAATTATGCAAATATATTGATATTTTGAAACTGAAATGCACAGGTTTTAAAGCGTCTACTTGCCTTCACGCGCGATACCGCTGTCCAAAGGAAACGTCCGCGGTTAAAATCTCTACAAGACTGAGGGAAGACATTGCTCGAGAAGAATGTTATTAAATGTAACAGAAAAGCAGAAC